ACCGTAAGCCAGAATAACCCTCTCCTCCTTTAAATGACCTCAAGTTCTCGTCCCAGGGACAAAGTGACTCACGCAAACGGCCAGTGTTCAGATTAGGTCTCCACGCTCAAGCGAGTCATTTTGCAAATGCCCGACACTCAGAAACAGCTGGTGCTTCAGTGCTGGCAGTCGCTGTTACTCTTGCTGCCCGCTGCACCCAAGGCCCCTGGAGCCAGGCGGCTAGGATGCGCTTCGAGCTTAGAGGCAGCAAGGGCAGGGCAGGTTGGAGCAGGCCCCAAGGGTCTCTGCTAAGTGACTCAGACAGGGAAGAGCCCCCCCACTCGCCCTCGGCCTCTGCAGGAGATGTGGCCCGGCTCAGCCACCACCTGGCTGCACGGTTTAGGGCTCAGAGCCCCACTAAGTCCTTTGGCCAGGAAAGAGAGATCAGCAGGTCTGCGGGGCACCTTCACATGCAGGAGGAGCCGCCTCCAGGCCCGAGCCTTGGGGAGGGGACAGAAGACGGCAGGGAGGTCAGCTCTGCCACTCCAGCAGGAAGCTCTTGGCCCCGTGTGGGCTTTGGGGTAAGGCACTGACAGGGTTGGGTGCTCAGAATCCAGGTCCCGGGGCACTGCGCCTTCGGTCTCCACTTCTGCCCTGAAAATCAGGTCGGCTGTCAGCGATCATCGCTGTTCACCCTCGGACAACCAGTTCCAATGCTCCGTGCGTTCCTTCTGCAGCAGGGCAGGAATGGGCACGGGCCTCACCAGCATCCCTAGGAGAGAATGAGTGTGACTGAAGGTTATGGCTGTAAAGAAAGTACCCAGGGACAGTAACGCAGGCCTGGAATCCCAGCACTCAGGAGGCTGAGGCAGGAAGAGCGCCACAAGTTCAAGGCCAGCCTGGGTTACGCAGTGAGCTCGAGGCCAGCCTGGACCACATGGCGAGACCCTGTCTCAAAAAAAACCAAGTAAGGTAAGGAAAAAAGAAGCAGCGCCACTGGATGGGAGTGAGGGGCAAATTCTGTGCTTAGAACTGAAGAAATATCTTTCTTGCTTTAAAGAGAGTTAAAGTCAGGCTCCCAGCTCCCATCAGAGGGAAGCTCTTAGGTTGCTTTGCAGACGCCAGTTCCCAAAGCCATCCTCATCATCTCTTGGTCCACAAACTGCTCTAGAAGCCTGCGGCACCCTGGGGACGCCCACCTAGAGCACCCTCAGCGTCCTCCAGCAGGGCACACAGGGGCAGCTTGGAAGGTGAGCCCTGGAAGCCCGGCAGCCTTGCTGGGAGGACAAGAGGCCCCCAGCGCTAGGTGAGCTCTGGGCTCTCAGCTTGCTGCCCGTGTGAGTGCCCAGGCTCTGAGAGGGACCCTCTGTCTCTGGCGAGCCGGCTACCAATGCCTGGAGCACGGATGAGCCCTCACCGCCCCGAGACCACCAACTGCACTCTCATGGGCTGAGTAAACGCAGCGTGGATTGTGGCAGAGCGCCAAGCTTTGGACACTATTTGAGTGCAGCGCCCAAGGATTCTCGTTTGAAATCTAACCCTGCTGTGATGATTTAACCTGACTCTGGTGCTTAAAGGAAGGCTTCAGGGAGAGATTAGGATAAACTCAAGAGCGAAGCCCCCAGCATGCAATCCTGGTGGTTTTATAAGAAGAGGGAGGAGCTGGCTGTGGTGGCGCACACCTGAGATCCCAGCACACAGGAGGCTGAGGCAGTTTGACGCCAGCCTGGGCTACACCGTGAGTTCAAGGCCAGCCTGAACTACACAGCTGGACTACACAAGAAACAAACAAAAGCTGCTGCAAGAAGCGGGGAGAGACAGCAGAAGGAGATGCACATGCATGTTCCTTGTCATTTGCCCTGTGATGTCCTGTGCGGCCTTGAGGTCCTGCAAACAGGTAGCATCAGATGTGAGCCTCAGCCTTGGACCTTCAGAACCAGGAGACGAAACAAATCTCTTTTCTTTATAAGGTTACCAGCCCCGGGGATTCTGTTATAACAATGCAAAGTAGACCAATGCAATAGCAACAGAAAACACATATGGTGCCCATCCTCTACCATCCCAGAGCTGCACAAAAGTTGTGGGGCCTTGGCTAGGTCCAGGTACCAAGAAGAATCTGCCAACAGGGAGCTGCAATGCTTTGTTGCTGGGTGGGGGCATCTGAGAGGCTGGGAACCCCATGGCCGTACGCCCTTGGGGTGTCGGCATCCCACCACCTCCACACTGGCCCTGTGACGTTGTCTCTCAGGGCTTCCTAGAGTGGCTCCTCCCACCTCCTCCCTTCTCCAGAACCCCGGGCTTCTGCTCTGCAGAAAGCTCAAGAATTAATTCCACAGTAGATGGAGTCTCCTAATAGAAATGTCTGTGCTCTCTGCCCAGCAAGATGCCCGTGTATGTTGTGACCAAGCTGGCTTCTGCTGGCAGAGGAGAGGGGGACAGTGTGGGGAGAGCCACACAGAGCCTTTGGGCATGACTCAGTAGGTATCTACTCCATGGCTGCCCCTTGAGTTTCTAGGCATGGTGACAGCTGCTGGGGAGAGAGGTGCAGACAAGTGGGCACGTGCATGCCATGCTCCCGGGCTGAGACCCGGGCCACTGTGCCATGGCGTGGAGAGCAACATAGGCAAGCAGCAGGGCGGGAGGGCTGCGAGCTGGCTGGGCTGACCCTCCCGCTCCACCACGGATCTGCGCAGAATTCCAGAGTCCAGGAATTCTCGACTCCAACAAGGTCTTCCTGGTGGTGACAAAGACCACCTGCCAAGGCAGGAGAATAGCATTTTGTTTTCCAGTGTGATAAACGTACAGACATAGGGGATGAGGGGCTCGGTCCGCATTCACAACTTGGATTTTCCAGGTCTGCATAACGTGACAGTGCTCCGGGCCAGGAGCCCCCTGGGGACACCCAGGGTGGGGTACAGCAGAGACTCCGGAAGCCGCCTGCACCCTAGCCTCCTGTCCCTGCAGCTGACTCCATCTCTAATCCAGAATGCAGAGACGGACAGGGACAGCAGATGCGACCCACGTAAGGCAAGGCGGGGTGGGATCCAGCTGTTTTGCAAATTGCGAGTCACCGTCACCAACACCCCCAGCTTGGGGACATGGAGGAGGATGAGAGAGGGCATCTTATGACCACTTTGCAGGTGGGACGGTGAGGAGCTGGAGCCCAGCCCCAGGCAGAAGGGCGCCGTGGTTCTCAAAGCGTGGGCCGGCAGCGGCATCCACTCCCTCGGTGAGCTTGCTGGGACCTCGGTCCTTGTGGGACAGACGCGGCCCCTCGGTGGGAAGGACAACCCAGAAGGACGCTGCTGGCCGGAAAGGATTCCTCAGCCCCACTTGCACAACTTGGCATGAAAATTCTCTAAAGCAGACTTTTTACTGGAAAGGAAACATTCCTTGAGCATGCAGTGTCCGAGCAGCGTGCCAGAGAGTTCGCGAGCACCCTCACTTCTCCGAAAGCCGCCGCGGCGATGTTTGCTTACTCCCCCTTTAAGAGCTCATTCCAGGGAGAGTAAATGACCCCGAGCTACGAGGCCACCAGCAGGCTACCCGCTACCGGGTCTGGGTGAGTCCCAGACCTCCCCCACTGCTTCACCACTGATTCTCAAACTCCAGTATGCAGGAATAACATGATTTTTTTTGGTACCGGGAATCGAACTCGGGACCTTGTGCTTACCAGGCAGGTGCTTGTGCCGCTGAGCTACATCCCCAGCCCTAGAGGATCACAAGTTCAAGCCCAGCCTGGGCAATTTAAGCATCTTAGGAGACCCAGTCTCAAAACAAAAGAGGGCTGGGGATGTAGCTCAGGGTGAGGCCCTTGGTTTAATTCCAGGCACCAGAGTTTCTCACTGGGTAGGTCCGGGATTCAGAGAAGTAGGTAGGCCCCACAAGTGCCCGGATGAAAGAGGACGCTTCAGACCCAGGACCACACTCAGAGCCGCTGTGCAGGGTGGGGCCTGGCTTCCTGCCCTATCGCACCCATGCAAAGCAGGCCCAGTCACAGCCCTCCCCACAGGCTGGTTGTGGGGTGCCGGTGAGGTAATGGGGTGAAAGAGCTTTGTCAGCTGCGGTGCAGGCTATGGCCCTGGTCATCTGCCAGTTCGCTGCCCCCAGCTGGTCCCCAGAATTATGCTGCCCAGTTGGGGTACAGTCATGAGACTTCCTGAAGCCTACCTCGTTCTGGGCTGCGTCTGCTCGAGGGAGAGAGCCAGCCGGATCCCTCCTCCTGCCGGCCTCCCTCAGGCTCCTCCACCGTGCTGGCCGCGGGCCGCTTCTCCAGGGGCCGGCCCGGGCAGGCCTGGCAGCATCAAGCCTGTGATTCAGGGCTTGGGCTGGATGCTTCACTCCGCCCCCAGCGTGGGACTCCCAGCCCTCCACAGCTGCCACTCTGAGCCTTGGGCTGCACATCAATAAAACGGGGGCCACATGTGTGTCCGCAAACGGTGAAAACTCAAGGAGCAGTACTCTTACAGCTTTGGCCCACAGCCTGGCCCGGGGCGATGCATGGTAGCTGTTCGCATTTTCAGAAAGCCCGAGGCTGTCTCCTGATCTAGGCCCAGACTTGGAACGCAATCCGCTCCCACGCCGTTCCCGGCTGCACCCGGATGCGCCCGCCCTGGAATGCGGCGTGGGGCCCTGGCTTGCAGCCCTGAGCCGGGGCTGCCAGCGCCAACAGGATAGGGGGAGGCAGGGGTCGTCCCAGCAGAGGCTAGGAGGCGGGGTCGACGCGAAGGCCCCGGCGGCCTGGGAGCGGCCTGAGAAGGGAGAGAGAAGCCTATGGGAACGGAACCGTTATTAGGGCTGTGCGTGGGCAGGGCGCGGGGACGCGACGCAGGGCAGCATACACGGCGGGCGGGCGGGTCTGGCAGGGAAGGAGAGAGAGGCCCCGGAGGGGGCGTGGCCTCAGGGGGCGTGTCCGACGCGTAGCTTTCTGGGGGCGGGGCTGGAAAGAGCCTGGTATTGTTGGAGGGGAGCAGCCTCCAATAGGGCGCGGGGGCGTGTTCGGGGCGGGGCCTTCGGGGGCGGGGCCCGGCCGTGGCCGTTGCGTTCCCCTACGGCCTCCGAGACCGCGGAGTGACCCGAGCCGAGGACTGCGCAGTCGGCCTGGGACGCGAGCGGGCTACGCCGGATTTGCTTGCAGCGCGGAGCGAAAAAGAAGAGCCGGCAGGTGAGAAAGGAGGCCGAGAGAGCGCAGCAGGCGCTCCAGAAACAAAGTTAGTTTTTGCCTCCACTTCCTCAGCCCGCTCGGGCAGCGTTCCTCCTTGCAACAAGTGACAGATGAGGACAGCTGGTGGGTGGGATGGAGCATCGGCCTCCGATTCCCGCTGTCCGCCGTTCTCCCGCCCCGCCATGCACCAGCTGCATGGCTCCGGGCCCGGCCTGCTCCCGGCCCTGGGCCTCTCGGGTTCCTGGAGGAGGAAGTGGGGCTAGGTGCGCTCCCGGGAGCCCGGAAGGTGAGCACTGGCAGCCGAGAGGGACACAGCTGAGCCAGCGCTGCCGCCAGGTCAGGTCGCGCTGCTCCGCCCCGGTTCCTCTCCTAGCAGAAGGGGGCCCAGCAAAGCTACTACTTCAAAGAGTGCGCCGGTTACTCGGGTGGGACTCCAGCCCCTGAGCCTTGGGGAGGGGATCCCAAAGCAGGGAGCTTCCATTCTCTCTCCCCCTCCCAGGTCCCGACAGCTCCCCGCGGGACCCCTGGGATTGGGACTTCCACTGGAAATTCAGCGGGGCTTTTCCAGATAGCCGCTGAGGGGCCCGGGAGGGACCGGAAGGAGCAGTTCTTACGGGGCAAATGGGGAGGAAACTCCCATCGAACTTGGGCCCTGAGTCAAGCCCCGCCGCAGGGTTAGCTCTGGAGGCTGAAGACCGTCCCCGAAGGCGGTGGCTGCCCTATCCCCAGCCATGGCAGCTGGGATCCTAGGTCTGTGGCCAAGGACTTGGGCTTTGGGACCAAACTAACTTGGGTCCCACTCTTCCCTCCCCAAACCTCAATTTCCTCGTCTGTGAGTAATGACAGAACCTGAGGTCCTAGCGACAGGGGAATAGAATGAAGCATGCGGTGGCCAGCAAGGTGGCGGTGCCTGGGGAGGCTGTTCCTCGCGTGACAGCTGTTCTGATGGAGCAGGAGCTGTGTGTGTGGAGGGCTGGAAGCTGGCTGCAGTCCGCTCCTGACCTTGTGAGGGCCAGAGGTTGCCACCTGCTGCCAACATCGCTCGGTTCGCTTGGGTCGGGGAGTCACCTGAGCCAAAGACCAGCTGGGTTTTGTGTAGTGTTCCTTGACGTTGGTGGGTTTTCAACAAAATAAACTAAAAACCCACTTACCGATCACCCACAGGACAGGAGCCAGAGCTGGGGGACACGGAGGTGCGCAGCTGCACTGCCTCTGCCCTCATCCTGAGTTGCCCACAGTGAGGGCTCCGTGTCCCCCCCATGTCCCTGCTGGGGAAGGTCACTCACGCGCAGGGCTCTGAGCCAGATGGGCTCTCAAGGGCCCCAACTGCCCAGGTGGCTGACCAGTGATTCCACTGCATGCTCTGCTTGGGGTGGAGGCGAGGGGTAGTGTGGGCACCCAGTGCCCATGTGAGCAGGGTTGGGCACAAGGGACACTGAGGTGTTGTTTGCCCCCTGCGGGATCCAGCGAGTTGAGCCGCACACTGGAGCCAGCTGGGAAGGACCATGGGACCGTCCCATCAAAGGCTGTGCTCGTGACAGAGATGGGGTGCGCCTGGATGTAGGGCAGGGGGCGGCCTTCAGAAGAGGTGGGAAACTTGAGAAAGCAGGCCAGGACTGAGGGGTGAGGCCTGAGCAGGACTTTCCGCCTGGTTGGGCTTGGATTGATGTGGGGTGTGGGGTCCCCTGCCCCAGGCTTTCAGGGGCGTTCCATGGGGGCTGGCGTGGTGGGAGGGAGAAGGCTCAGTAGGTGGTGCCCATGTGTGTGGGGTGTGCGTTGCAAACTGTGCCCAGTGAACATCTAATGGGAGCCCCCCACAGCCCCGGCCCGAGTGGAGAACAGCAAGGCCCGCGCCCCCAGGCTGTGTGCCGTCTGCGGAGCTCTGACTAGGACACCAGGACTCTCAGACAAGACATGAGGCGGGAGGGCTAGAGGGATCTTTGGGGCCTTAAGGATTGGTTGGGCAGCCTGAGCAAAGACAGCGTCTCTGGCAGAGGAGGGTGACTGGGTGGAGGGAAGGAGCTCACCTGCCCCGCTGGGACCGCAGGGCAGGCAGAGTGCGAATGGTCGGTGGGAGCAGCTCGTGCAGGGTCTCAAATGCCAAGGCGAGGAGCTTGCGTTTGAGTTGCAGAAAAAGGGAGTCCCTGAAGCTTTTGGAGCAGGGGAGTGACAGGGCAGAGTGTGGCACTCTCGGGAGGGTGGGCTGTGTCAGGTGTGCTGCGGGGGGACCCAGCGGCCACAGGATAAAGAGCCAGTGGCTGTGGTGATGGGCGGGACGGGTCTGAACAGCTGGGGTGAAGGAAGAGGCCCCGGCCATGGACACAGAAAGGCGGTGCCTGAGGGGCGGAGTGTCCCAGCCAGGCAGGCGCTGGCCCTGGCACCGATGGGGCACCCGGCGTGGCGTGTGTTTCCCACCAAGCAGGGCTTGGTTCCCCCAGCCTCCTCTGGAGTTCTGCTCTCTCTGCAGAGCTCAGACCTTAGAGGAGGAAGCTGCTCCTAGCCGTCCCCCTCCACCCAGGGGACCCAACCCTGATCCCTGAAGACCACATAGCCCCTCTTGATGCCCTGCGTGTGACTCCTGCTTTGGAGCCCTGGGCCCAGCTGGTGCTCAGGCTCGGCTCCTGCTCCAAACCATCATAGCCATTGCCTTCACCCCACGGGAAGCTCGGGAACATCAGACAGCCCTGAGCTGGCTCTGAGAGGTGGGAGGGGAGCGGGGACAGTTTGAGCTCAGCAACAACAGCCCCGCCCACCAGCTTCCCCTCTTGCAGGCTGGCTTGGAGGGCTGGAGGGAAGCCCAGAGTGAACAGGGTCTGTGCTGTGGGGTGCGTCGCTTCCCCTCCGGCTGCCCCCGATGCCGCGTGCGAAGCCAACAGTCCGAGCTGCAGGGCCCAGCTGGGATCCCTCAGCAGCTTGCTCTTGCCCCCTCCTCTGCGCCTGGGATTCTCCTACCCTGGCGGCTTCCTGTCAGCAGCTGATTCACTCCGAGCTGACAGAGAAGCAGCTGAGGGGCAAAGAGGCCTGTGTTCTGGCTCTTGGAGTGGGTTCCAGCTCTGCTGTCTGTGCACTGTGTGATGCAGAAAAGTCCCTTGTCCTCGCTGGGCTGCCCTGCCCTGCCCTGCCCGCCCTCCCTGCCCCGCCCTGCCAGTGCCCCGTTCTTCATGTGGCTCTCAGGGGCCTCCAGGACAGGGTCTGGCCTTGGTGACAGGGGAGATGTGTGTGGCCGCCTGCCTGTGCGTGTGTGCACACTCACACACCACGGACTCCTGCTCGGCTAGGCAGCTCCCTGCAGATAAGCAGTATGTGTCCTGCCCCCTCCCCAGCCGTCCCATCCTGGGGGAGCAGCTAGTATGGTAGCACAGCACCGAACTTAGGAACTAGAGTCGTGGCTCTGCCTGGTCCTAGCTCTGTGACCCTTTCTTTTCTTTTTTTGTTTGTTTACTTGTTTGTTTGAACACAGAGTCTCCCTGTGTAGTTCAGGCTGGCTGTGAACTCACTCTGTAGCCCAGGCTGACCTCGAACTTGTAGCGGTCCTCCTGCCTCAGCCTTCCAAGTGCTGGGATTACAGGCGTGCGCCATCATGCCCAGCTTCTGTGACCCTTTCAGAGCCTCGGTTTCCAAATCTGTAAATTGAGGATGATAATGGCAGTGACCTCACAGGATGTCCTGAGGATGCAATAAGCAAAAGTGCTTGCAAAACTCTTAGCAGTCTTGTTCCTGGCTCGTGGCAAATGCTCAGATAGTGAGAACTGACCAGACTGCAGCTCAGGTCCTTAGTGTCCAGGCCCTCTGTGCCCCTCCAGCACAACGTGTGCGTCCCCAGGACTAGTCATTTCCGGCCGTGACACTGCCTGCCCTTCCTGAGTGGCTGGCTTGCATCATTGTGACTCTAAGCTTCGTGCGCAAAGTGGATCTGAACGTCACGGCCCCCTTGATGTTGCTGTTCTATGGCCAGCAGAGTGCTTCTGGGAACCCTCCCGGGCAGGGACTTCCCTGTGTCCATTCTGTGTGCCAGATTCCTGACACACAGCAGGCACTTGGGAACTGGTAGTTGAATGAATAAGTGATTGTCCTACAGGGGACCTCACCAGAACCAAGCTCGGTGCTGGATTCGCGGTGATGCGTTGGCAAAGATGAGGGCAGGAAGCAGGGTCTGTGGACCCCACTCCTGGAACTAGAGTCTTGGCTCAGGAAGGCGGGAATGGCTGCCTGGCCTCTTCTGTCATAGCTGGGGCTTCTGTATCCCCTGTGACGCCTGGCCTTTACCCTGCAGAGAGAGGAACAGCTGACTTCCTCCACCCTGGCCCGTGGGGGGTCAGTGTGGCCTGTAGTGAACCCTGACTCAGCCAGAAAAGATGCCTTCCCATCAGCAGTTGTCCGTGGACAGTGCTGTTACCTTGCATGGGCTCAATCTTGGGGACAAGGAGATGTCCCCCAGGAGATGCCCATGCCAGACCTCCACTGGACAGCACTGCTGTCCCTCAGGTTTCTCGCTCTGCCCCAAAGCCTTCTGCCCCTTCTCAGGGCCCGGCACTGGGGGCACTAGGCTCTGGGCAGATGCAGAGGCGTGGACAGTAGACGTGAGCACTTTCCTGCTGCCGCTGCTGCTGCTGCTGCAGCTCAGTGCAGTGTGAACCTTGAGCTGGAGCCTCGTAGCTTCCGGATCGGCTTTGGCTCCTCAGAAGGAGAGGCTTTAATGCTGCAGCTGCTTCTTTCTGTCCATGGGTTTTGCATCTGCAGATTCAGCAAACCACAGATCAAAATATCTGGAAAAAAAAAGGCTTCTTTTTCACTGAAAGTGGACAGGCGTAAAGTCGTCACTAGTTCCTAAAAGTACAGTATAGCAAATATTTGTACAGCGCTTGCATTGTATTAGATATTATAAGTAATCTAGAGGTGGTTTAAAGTATATGGGAGGATGTGTGTAGGTTCTGTGGAGGTACTGGGGCCTTTTATAGAAGAGACTTGAGCACCCCCAGAGTTTGTGTCCCCTGTGGGTA